AATGTATTTAATTCTATCATAATTTCATAAAACTTATTGAATTCTAGATTTGTATAAGATTCCATTTCCCTGAAACAAGCAATATCAAGATCTGTCTCTGAATTGATTTTACTTTCCTCTGTCTGCAGAATTAAGAATGGATTATAGAAGACAGAGTTTAGTATTTCTCTTAAAGATGGACAATGAAGAAGACAAGCGACGCCCATTTTGTAAAAGTGTTCTAGTTTCTGTAAAAGAGACGACTTTTTTTTGCCCCACCACTTTTGCAGCAAACATATTATTTTCTGGAATAAAGAAATTCGGCAGATTCCCGGTATAAACACAGTGTATCAAATATTTAAAACATTTCCAGAAATGCTGAAGTAAGGATGACGAAGTCCATGAATCCAGTGGATCATTTTGTATCCTCCAAAATACAATTGTTTTGATGAAGTAAGAACGCATTAGTTCGTCACGGATAATTTCTTTCAGCAGTAGTTTTAATAATCCATAGCCAAGAAATTGGACATGGTTCATGGAACAAGTAAATTTTTTCTCTGCTTTTGAAAATGAAATTCTCCATTCTAGGTCGTTATAGCCAGTTGATTGATTGCTTCCGATTGGGACAAGATGACAGCCTTCATTCAGAACAGACTGAACTACCATTCTTGATGGCCATTTTTGCGTTAAACTTCGATCAATCCAACGAAATGCCAAGGAGGGCCAGTGGCCTGACTGAAAACAATCAATCCTGTATAAATCATAATCTGGATAAGAGAAGACAATTCCTGCCTCGTTAACACTTTTATAGTGAAGGCTTGAGCTACCTATGGAATGATGGATAGCACTTTTAAATAATGAAGAGGAAATATAAATTTCAGTGTTAATTTCTATAAGAGAAGAAGTAACAAATTTAGATCTGGACTCTGTAAAAAGTTCTAATCTAGCGAATCCCGGTGGAGTTTGAGAGGTATGCATGAAAATAAATGTGTCGATTGGTGAATAACAAGATTTGGTGTGCGATAAATCAAATATCACAGGATGATTACACTGCCAGCTCAGGATAACCACTTGATCAACAGAGGCAAGGTGAAACCCATTCCTAATATCGCCAATTTTCGTAGACCTTAATCCACTCTTTCGATATCTATATTCATAGAGTACATTTTGAAGCGTTTCATTAAGGTCCAATATGTCTCTTCTGATGGTCACTTCTGTTTCTGTTCCTATCTTACGACTTAGTTCAATATACATGGCGTCTGACACACAAGACATCTGATTCATCCTGCAGATTAATAAGTAAAGAGAATCATGTTATATCATATTTAATTTTTTGTTTAAATTGTTAAAAAGAAGTACTAGTAATTTCAAGACTAAAATCAGTTTAGATTTGAAATTACCCATGTCGACATCATTTGATAATAGTTTGCTGTAGATCTGCAGCTCGCTGGTCTGAAAAAAAAATTGGGATGAAGCATCAGACAGCTACAGTGCTACCCATTTAAAAAAAAAAATGTATATTTATTACACACAAAAAGATGGGCTGTTTCTCGGTCTATTTCTGCGTGCATTTAAGCTGTCATATTTAGATTATAACTAACCATGTATTCCTTACATACTTTCACTACTTCCACATTAAAACGTTAAATGTAAAACATTTTCCGAAAACGTTTTGAATAACTCTCCTGAGCCTGAAATTGAGACCATGGAAAAATCGTCTACTTAAACTGCCATCTTGGGTGGAAAGACAATTCGGTCCAACGAACTTGGTACATGAATTGTACATAAGAAGTAAAGGAATATGCATATTGGGAACACATGGTTAGTAATATTTTCTCTATATACTTACAAATAAATAAAAAAAACAGCATATTTTTGTGCGCAAAAATATATACTTTTTAATGGCACTGTATCTCTCTGGTCAGTCGTCAATCCCATTTTTTCAGGCCTGTGAGCTACAGATCTGCATCTAGATAATGGTCATCTGACTTTTATAATCTGGCATAAAATTACCTGTCCTGGTAGAGCACAACTTCATGATTAATATTCGGAGGTCCCTTTAAATGATCGACTCTGCATTGCTCACATTTTCCCTGGTAACATGTTTCGCAATAAAATCTTGAGTACCTTGAGCACCCATATGTGTCACACTCTACGTAGTGTTGTGCAATATCAGGGATGTCCGAGTATTCCAATGCTGCAAAGGATCTAGGGAGGAAAATCCATAGGATACAGTTCTATCATTAAATCAAATTATACCCTATTCCCTCTCATTCGACACACAAAGATATTTTATTTGTATCTAGTGTTCAATGTCTCACTATCACCTTTTACCAACATTTCTTTCTTATACCACGAAAATTTGACGAATGAAAATAAATAATTTTACCCTACCTGTTGCTTTGATGTGTTTTTGCATTGAACTGACAATTATTATCTGGTAGAAAACTCAGTCTGTCCTGGTAGAGAACTACTTCATGGTTCCTTTTCCTTGGATCCTTCTGGTGCTCTATTGTGCACTGCTCACATTTCCTTTGATGGCATGTCTTGCAGTAGAATTTTGAGTAACGTCTACAAGCATATGTACCACACTCTACGTAGTGTTGTGCAGTATTTGGAATGGGAGAGTCATCCATGGCGAATTAGATCTAAGAAAGGCATAATCATATTCAAGGCTGAGTTTAGAAAAAAATGTTTGCTTGCCCTTTCCCGACTGGGTCGATTTGAAAATGTTGGGTTGGTAGGTAAATGAGAAAATACTTTTTTTCAGAAAATTCCAATGCTGATTTTTTAAAATTATGTTTACCTGAGTAAAAAAAATATTGTTTCCCGGGGGTTAAATTTTTTTTTGAATCGGACTATTATTAGCCGGTCGGTCGGGAAAGGACAAGCAAACAATTTTTTAAAGATGGCCTAAATATAATTACAGATGTAATATTAATGCAACCTTAACTATAACACCTGATTGGATTATGCTATACATATATGTAGATTTGTCTTGTTATACTCCCTACCCATGGACGTTAAAATGTCCAGTAAATGTTATATCTGAGGTCATCATTCAATATTATTCGGTCACCCGCCACGAACGAATGGCTTAACTTTTTGATCTTCAGAAAACAATTATTTTTTAAGCATATCAGAAAAAAAACTGTTGATATTTTTTTCATAAACTTATTGGCAATAACTTACCTCTTTTCAAAAATTGAACATGTTCTTGCTATCGAATCAATTGAGAGATGTAAATATCTCCGTATGCAGGTGATAATTCAGGGTATACTAATTATATATTAATTGCTGATTCAGTAAGGGAAGTTGCCGTTTAACAAGTTGAGGTCAGTATATCTAATCACAGATCTGGTGCTTGAATTATATTATTACATGCATGTATTTGATATTAATGAAAAAAAAATTATGAATAGCGATTTAAAATTAAGGACAGATCATGAAACATATTTTTTTCTTTATGGGAGACTTAACTTGGAAATATTGGTTAATAGTTCAATAAAATTACAAATATGGACAAATCAACTCAGTAAAGGTTTACATATGAAAACAAGTTTCAGAATATGTTTGCTTAGTGCTAAAAATGAAATATAAACTTTAAAGAAAAATACTGAATACCGAGCCTGGTAAATTTTATGAGGAACAGCAAAATGTAAAAATCAACACGTGATTTTTCTGATTTTCCCCTTTTTGAGTTTCCTCATAAAATCTACCACATTTTAAAGTTCATATTATACATTTAGCACTAAGCTAACATATTCTGAAATTTGTTTTCATCTGTGAACCTTTACTAAGCATGATTTGTCCATATTTGTAATTTTATTGAAGCATTAGCTAATATTTTCCAAGTCTATTTCATTGTCCAAGACTAGGGAGAAAAAATTCCAAGAATAATTCACTTTTCTAAGCCTGTGAGATGATATTAAGAAAAAAAATAAAATTGTTTGTATCATCTGTCCTTAAATAAGGAAATCCATAGGAACCCCCTCCCCTCATATCATGTTCCATGTGTTTCATTAATTAAATTGTAATTCAACTGGTCGGTCAAGATTACAATCCTGGCCATTCAAGATTTCATGACTTAGACATATATTTCAATCCTTGAAAACTAAATCATGAGATTCAATCATTATTTTATAGAAAACTACTATAGTATACAGGTATACCACAAGTCTTGACCAGGATTGCAAACTGCTCTTTTATTCAATACATACTGATCAGCCAAATCGTATATTTGATGTACGTTAAGGTTTTAGGGATAATTAATTGAATTCAGAGCAGAAAGACACTTCGTTTGAACATACACAGACAACTGCACAGATAATTATATATACTTCGGGCGGTAAGGTGAAGATAACACATGAAAACCGCCATTTGATTACATACATGTAGATTACGCAAGAATTATTGCACTCTGTAAGCAAAATTTACCTTTGAATAACATTTTTTTTATTTAGTCGAAAATTGGAAAACAATTTAGTATGCACCTCTTCGCCTTTGCTCTCTATGAAATACTGCAGTATATGCTTGTTTGCGGAACTACAGCAAATTTTTTATATGGTTTGGTTGTTTGTTGCTTTAGGTCCCATTTGAAAATTATTTCACCCATTTAAAGACGTCGCCGTTTACGGGTTATTGTCTTCTTAGATCTATATTTAAAACTAAGCGCCATTGAGCAATGAAGGATCTAGATCATGTCAATTCAATGACAAGGACATTGGTTAATAAGTCTTATTAGAACAAGTAGAAAGATATGCGACTTTTTACGTCGTAGGAACGTCAATATTTTAACGTCTTAGGTTTGATGCTTTCCAGATTTTATAGAATTGAAAAAAATGAAAGTAAAATGCAAAATGATTAAGAAAAAAACGTACTTACGATTCTGATATTTTGTCGTCTACAAAGTGGCAGAAAGGGTGATTTGGTGGTTATGTAATCATCTCAAGATAACAGTTTTACGATACTAAATACTACCCATATCTGTTTGTTTAAAAAAAATCTATTATCTATGCACACAAAGTCTCTGTTAAATCAATATCTTTGTAAAGGGATGTATAAAATGAAATAAGCCAGTGGAAGAGGGTATTTCACAATCACTGTCTAGTTTGTTCGGTATTCCAGGGCATCAACGATAGTTGGAAACGTGGGATAATTTACATAACAGGAGACGTATTTTATTATTCAATTGTTTCGTAGAATATTATATCTGAGCCACTCTCGATATAATAGATAGATTGTACAAGGTTTCAACGTCCCAATTTTAAGAAAAAAGGTAATACATTTTAGATTGAAAAGTACTGTTGCAGTACTTTGATAAATTTTATTGATATACATCCATGAATTCTGTACAGATTTATACAACATATATTTACAAGTACAATAGTGTACTATATTTGTATTTAGTCAATAAACACATCAGTCAATAAATTAAATTGGAAGAATTAAAATACATGTACTAGATTATGCAACAGTAATTATTCTATACTTCCTATAATGACTGGTTGGTAATACTTTAATAATACATCACTTTCTTGTAGTTATATCATTAAATCAACAAATGATTTTACTAACAATAAAAATTCTTAACATGTATGAAGACATTATAATGGTCATACACCCATATACATGTATAAAAAACAGAACGATTAGAATAGTAAAAGCTTATCATTATTTTTTAAATTAACATTCTAGAGTACACTGTATGCTTGTTACTTTTTAGCAAAGTATACACATGTACCTCGCCACTCTTTCATAAGTACAGTAGCTGTATAATAGTAAATTTTTGGCACAGGTAAGCTAAAATGTAGCAAACAGTTAATTTCATTCCAACATTTTTATTTTAGGGACTGGGGATGCCATTTATATATAAACCACACAGCAGAATATCAGGTCAGAGGAATAAGGTCCACAAGATTTCCTTTAGGCTGAGACATGTGCTCAGGGAAAAAGGCCACTAACTGGTCGAATAGTTCCGTCCTAGCCATGTGATGTTCACTAGTATCTACCAAAATTGCCTCTGCAAAAGGTATTTTATAATTTATTGTCTCTGATGCACTTGTTGAACGAAATACATTCTGTACTTGAGAATCATATGTTTGCTAGTAAGTTGAATATACTAGTATTCACTTGTATTTATTGCCTTGAAGTTTAGAAGTTTAATCTTATTTTGTTAAAAATCATAAATTAGTCATAAATCAAACACCTAAGAAACACTCCATCCAAATTAAGTCTATTTCATAAGTAAATTTATGCATTCCGTTTTAATGTGTTCAGAAAGGTATAAAGTACAAGCATGTATTTACCTTCATTTCCTTCTATTTCATCCTCAGGGCTCTGGAACAAAGTTGTAGCCAGGGACTCAAACTAAGAATAAGGAAATATAACCTACTTGTAATTTTAAAAATATACTATTCAAACTCAACACATTTAAATAATGGAAACATTAAAATTGAATTGAAATACGTGTTCTATAAAAATTGTAGATAGTTTGATAACTTGTTATTATTTTAAACAATTTTTATTTTAGGAATAGCACATTCAGATATTTACACTTAATAAATCTTTATAAATGAAAGATTTTTTTTAATTCTATTAAGAAATTATAGAAAAAGCATATTGAATACCACAGCATATCATATATCATTATGCACAAGTGATCCATAATCTAATTTTTTACTAATTTATTTCATGATTTTTATATTTGCATTTTTCAGTTTCTTTACATTAATATTTCTTCATGTGGTTTAAAACTGCTTTAAAGTTGATACCTCTTCCCGTTCTTTTTTATTTTTGTGATCGACAATACTGGCTAGATCATTCTGTAGGTACAACATGGCAGTGTGGGGATTGTGTTCCGCCAGCTCCTGAAACTTGTACTTTCTCAGTAGATATTTACACTGACGTAATAGGTGTTCTGATGACAATCTACACAACTGAAATTTAACCAAACATCATTAAAATCTATTTTAAAATTTTCAATTTTAAAAATTGTTTGTGTGGCTACATCTTCAATTTTAATATGTCCATTGAACTCATTTTCCTACGTAGCTAATTAAAAATATATTGTTTCATTACAGATAATTTTTGTGGATAAAAATATTAAATTTCGCAACAGACATGTGACTTTTGCACCTTTTAAAATGTGTATACATGTACTTTTATTTCAAATATTTTGCAAAAAAATTTTCATTCTTGCCAAAAATGCAACATATTCATCTAATGTGAAACATTTGTAAAACATAATAATACTCTTACTATACTTTCCTTGAAATTTCAGGACATTTGTCAAAAGACACAAAGACTAGATAAAAATATAAGTCGAAATGACTTCAGAAATGAATGTTTTGGAAACAAAAGACTCAGCTCTGACATAAAAGAGCCAGCTACGATCTAAGGACAAGATATAGAGTATGTAGATGTACAAGTACATTGCTTGGAAGTGTGAAACCAACAAAGGGAGGGTCTAATGAGGACAATACCAACAAGCTTGGGGAAATCAGAATCGCAATTAGAAGTCTCAGACAGAATTAAATCTTCCATTCAAACAAAGGTGAAGTTATTCATCAGCTAAGTTCTGCTAGTCCTTGTGTATGGAAATGAGATAT